CAAACAGGCTACAGCTGAATGTTAAGGACTGCCAGACACTGCTTTTCGTAAGTTTGACACTGCTTCTCTCCATTTTTATAACACTGTTTTCTGGTCTACTGTAAGCTCAAATACTGCCAAAGCATTTCTCAAAACCTCTCTAAACTGAATGAAAATGCTGAACACCCTCTGCATGTATGATCCCAAAAAATAAATACATAAATGGCAAATTTATAAAATGCATTAATCAGATGCCCTACATCAGAATATGCTCTAAGAAGAACTATGAAAATGTACCTATAAGATGCCTTAAACACACCTCCAAAAGTAGTAAAATGAACTCAATGAACTCAAAATGAACATAAATTAACTACTCCAACTAAGATACTAAGTGAGCCAATGACAATCCAGTGGCATTACTGCAGATACTGTATTATAAAACTGTGCATTCCATAAGAGTCTTAAAGGGCTGCTGTCATGCAGAGTTTAGCTTCATCCCTAATCAAACACACCTGATAAATCAAACCAACATTTTCAGGATTACTCAAATATTACAGAGTTTTGTTTGATTAGAGATTAAACTCTGCAGGATGAGGTGACCCTCTTAGACCAGAGTTACCTATCTCTGCTTTTAAGTGTTGGCAAAAGAACAAAGAACATCTTCCAAAAAAGTTCACAATGTATTCCCCTACATGGCAGGCTAAAAAGTGTTATTTTGCACATTGAATTATGGCAGATATAGCTTCACCGACTCCAGGAGCAATGCTGGCAGCAGCATAAAACCTTGTACCTCACAAATCTGACCAAGATTTTTGATCCCCCAAGCTCAGCTCATCAAATAACTTTAACATCTACTGTGGCTTGAATGTATCTGGTCTCCAGCCCTCTCCAGTCGGTTTCTTTCTATGCACTTAAAACATTCCCTCTACCATATATGTCCTCTTGGAAGGTCACTGTCCTGCAGAGTTTAGCTCCAACCACAATTTAAAACACGCCCGAACCAGGTAATTCCTGAACAAGGTCTTCAGAATTACTAAAAAAATTGCAGTCAGGTGTGTTGGGCAAATCTGCATGATGCTGGCCATTCAGGAGCAGGATTGGACACCCCTGACATTTAACATTTAAGAACTGAAATGCACAGAGAGTCAAGAATGCTTGTCCACTTACCCTCATGACCCAAGCAAGAAACTAAATCCTCAATATAGACAACAAAATGTTACTTTCCAGCTCTGCTACTGTCGCCAGCCATAAAGCAACAGCTACTTGACTGATTCTTTCTGCAAACACTTTTGAAAATGAATAAAAAGCAAGAAATAACTGGTACACCACCCACTTGCCGAGTCTCTAACACATCCTGTAACAATCTTCTGGAGAGATGAGGGCTTGAAAGTGTGCATTGTTCAGGCAATGTGAGCTACTCTAGATCGAGCATGTCCGCAGAAAGGAGGACGAGTGTTCACTGAGATGTCCTTTATATCGACCTTGCCATAGGCTTCTTGTAACCAGGCAAAAAGTTGTTGTGATTTGAGAGGTGTGGATATTATGAGAGTGTTGGGAACACTAGACTGGATGGAAAAGTACTTTCAGTCAATAGCTGGACTGACTAAACTGAGTGGTTGCAATGGTCTGTATTAAACATTTATTAATGCACAGATGGATGTGGCAGCACCTATATGCCTCACATCAGTCTTGTTAGCTGTTCCAAATCCAATATTACCTAATAAGATGCATATGCCAGGGTTTTCAACCTTACACAATAGACAAAGTGCACCTTGATATTTATTTAAAAAAGTAAATTTAAATGAAATGGTAGCTCTGAAAGCATTTGTGTGTGTCTGTGTAATAACAGTACTCCTCTACATTAAAATAATCAGAAATTGTACAGAACGGCGTAGGAGTATTTGAACTACTGTGAAACAGATTAATAGATAATCACAGAAGCCATACAGCTGAAACCAGTCTTTATGATATTATGGTATTCAATAATGGCAGCGTATAAGGCATACCATTTGGGATTATTAAATCTGAACTGCTGCAGTCTAAAATATTATATTAGCTAGCAAATAAAAGTAGATACTGTATTTAAGTCTCAACCATGGCAATCATTATTATTACAGACACCAAATCCATCTGAAACAGCTCACATAATATAAAAAGTAATAAATAGCTCCTTTAAAGGTTATTTTTTTTAAGAGTATGGATTTACTGAATAAGTACGGCTATGGATTGCATTGGTTACAGTGAAAGTGGAACATATTCAAAGCTTTTTTGCCATTGTTTAATTTGGCATTTATTTTTTGGTTAGCTGGCGGTGATATTCAGGGAGAAAATGGAAGCATACCGTCATGATCCCTTCCAGGATACCGGAGTCAGGTTTTGGGGGAATCTGCCTCTCAAGGGACCACTTCTCCACAATGGAGGCAACCTGAGGATTGTCCACGTTTAGGATGCGGAAGCCAGTCATATTTACACCGCAGAAGCGGTACGGCTCTAGGTTTATGGCCATGAGATCCTAGAGGAAGAGCAAGAGAGAGAAAAGATCTAATTTAACCGGCCTGAATCGAGCTTCATTGTTGCTGGGTGAGAGGCTTCTTGTCTCTTTGTCCCCTAATAAAAGCAGGAGAAAAAAAGAAGATAGTAAAAAGAAGATAGACAGAGCAAAAATAAAAGAGATTAAGGATAATACCGTGCTTTCCAGGCCGCCTGGGTACAGCCAGATGAAGCATAGTAGCTCGTACACCTCTGTGCCAGCATGTATGATATCATAGACAGTGAGCCAGGAGTCATTTGCACAATAGCTGATTGAAACAGTTATTTCCTCTGTAATCCGGTCTTCATTGCTCCCATCCAGCCAATTGAACCTTAAAGACTTCACACCGCTCTGAATGCCGACTTGACACTAAAATGTATCACTATTTCTGGGCATTCAATGATTTTAACAGTGTGGATTCTTCAAAAAAGGATCAGAATTTCACATTCTCAGTGCAGTGGGATGAAACACTCTAAAATTAAATTGCTGGGGTGGAAAATAGCATTAAGTTTAAGTCTAAATTAATCAAGATCTTTTCATCTTACGAGGTCAAAGCAAAAGGCGCAGCCAGCTAACACTGGGTTCTGTAAATCTGAGAATGAATGGCAAAATGAGCAAGACCGTGCACATTGAAAGAACTTCCCGTAATATGCTGAGGCTAATTAACGCTCTAGAATAATAACAACACACACCCACACTACGCATGCTATTGTCTGGAGTGTTATTCTGAGAACAGTCGCTCTGTTTCTTGTACCATCCTACATATTGCCAAACATGTTGGCAAGGTGGGGGCGGTGAAGAAATGTGGTAGAATATAATAGAATATCTCATTAACACCACTATAGCATAAATGAGTTCTTGTTAAATGTAGATGTTACGATGGAAGCCTGTTTTATGGCTTCTTTACATCTTAATGTTTTACTGTATCAGTGCGGCATTAAGAGATAATTAAGAGATGATTGATGCTCAAATGCTTAGAATGTAGTAGAATTCCAGGTGGAATATTGTAAAAAATATCATTACGAAAATAGATACATTGTTCATTTTATTATGTCTTAGATGAGGAGGTCTTAGCAAAATGATGTCGTGTAAATCCAACATCGTTGTTCGCCCACAACAAAACTCCAGCTGCAGAATGGATATATAGAGTGGGAGAACAACGATCGTTTAATATACGATGGATGTTGTAAATGACACATCAAAGACAGATAAGGTGACGCTGATTGTGGAATTTGAGAAACATCTCATAATACAAGGCAAATCCCTCAAGTTTCACAGAAAAAGCATCATGAAGGTTATGAAAATATAAGGTATATGACATATAACTTGATACTTTTATGCTCTTCAGCTGTGCATTGTGTTGCGAGGGCATAAGAGCATGCAAACATAGAAAACATTGTTATATACATCACTGTTGACTTTTTATGCTTCAGTAGGTACATCTCAGAATTAATAAAATTGTCAGAAATGATAAAATAGCAATAATAAAATTAGTTTTCATTTACATAGGAAAGTGCTGTTTACCCACGGAAGACACCTGGGTTCAAATCCAGACTAATATCACACCAACAGAGTGCGTGTCATTGACGTAGTAATATTGCATTATACAATTCAACATATACAAATGAAAGCAAGGAAAGGAAAAAACAAGGACTGTCACAAAATCCTTCATGTGTGGATTGTGAAACTACTTTCTTATGTCAGCGATTCAGAAAGTAACTTACATGACACCATATTGTCAGTTTATGAAGTTCCAAACAGTTCCAAACAAAGACACAGCATTGCAGTGCAACACGGCATACGTGCTTAGCTTCTGAATGAATCTACATATTTGAATGAATCAGTTGCATGAATGATTCATGACTCACTCATAATGACACTTGCCGCCACCTACTGGAAAATACAGTTCATTTAGAGATCCTAAAGCAGAGGGTGCTTTGGACTCACCAAATTTAATCTGCCACAGCACTGTCGTCAAACACTTTTTTTTTTTTATCAACAATTAATATGCAAATTGTTATTTAAAATACAAATTCTATATATATATATATATATATAATTATTTTTTATTTTAATTTTTTTGCTTACTATCTTTGCTTACTATTGTTTAGATAATTTACCTACCTATGACTATTTGCATTTTGTGAGAACAAGATGTTATTTATACTTGGTGTAAGCACTTACCTACTACTATTTTTACACTTAATATAAATGCCTAAACTGCCTAAATGTTTTGACAAATCCACATTTGTATAAATGAAAAATAGCACATATATACATATGCATATTTGCTGTGTGCTTCAATTTCTGTGCAATTATATAAAAAATGCACATTCTAGAACCATATTTTATTTTAGTACATTTGCATTGTCTTCCAGTGAAATTCAACTTTTTTACAGGGGTGGACTTACCCATTAGGCAAAGGTAGGCGACCGCCTTGGGCCCCCAAAAGCCAAGGGCCCCCTAAAATGCTTTTCATATAGGATATGCGCATTAAGTGCTGACACGCGAACGGTTGCTGTTTATGGTGTTTGTTACCACGACAACCGTCCGAGACTCCGAGTTGAACGTGCTTTTTGTGTACCCTGCTTGAGGGAGATGAAAATATTATGCATCTGAAGCTGTAATTAAATACTGAGAAACGGTGTGTATTATAAGTTTATAATTGTTTTAAATGCCGCTTACTCATTTATGAGAAGGAACCAAGTAGAGGACACAGTTACTTTTTTTGGTTGATATAATGTGTGTAAATGTATAATTGCCTTTTCATTATTTTTTCAGTTTTATTTAAATTTGTAGTTAAAATAACTAAAAATAAATGTATTTTAAAGTAAATTAGACAGCCTTTGCACACAGGTAACTCATCAGTGGATTTTCCTCATCAATATAGGCTATATTTTTTATACTTTTCTCATTCTATATTTCTGACATTCCAAAAGCGCCTCCTACTGGCAGAGAATGAATGTTCATTTTCAATAATCCAGTCTGTAGTTTTTGTTCGGATCAATGCAAAAATCCACCCACATAACCATTAATATCATAATTTATACTTCTGGCTCACCCCTGGTTTAAACGCTCAATTGTGAGGTTTATTATTTTATAATTTTTGATTTTGTGAAAACTTGAATCTCAACTGTAAATCAGTTGCTACTTCGTGGTCTACAACATGAAAGAAAACCATTATAACATGTAAATGAAAAATTTTGAAACATTGGACACAACTATGCGGCACCATTGTGCCGCAGCAAGCATCACAACAAAAAAAGGAACCTCAAGGAAAATGTGTACAAATGTATAGGGCCCCATTCCTATATTTTGCCTGGGGCCCCCAATTCATTAAATCCGCCCCTGCTTACGTATCTCCTCAGGGTGACTGCTATAGTCTATTCATCATAACAAATGATAAATGTGTGAAAATAGCATAGATCAATTCACATGGGCTGAAAAATTTTAATAATCTAATGAAAAACACACAGTTGATTAGTTTTCAGTGTTGGGTAGTAATCAAGCCTTTAGCAAGGATCAGTAAACCTCACTCATAACTCAGATGCTTGACATATATGGTGCATTTCAAGGACACTCAAACTCTGTTCCAAAAACCAAGTGAATATATTTGTTTAAATAATATAATAAGTAAATTAAATACAAATTTAAGCTAGAAAGAAACACTTTAAAAAAAATACTAATATTAATCGAAAAATAACTAACATTTAAATTAAAATTTAAAATATAAACATGGAAGCTTATTTCAAACATTAATAAATAATGTAAACAATGCTAAAATAACAACAGAGCTTTCTGAATGTGTCTTATATGAGGCCTCTGTAGTAGGATCACTAGATTTAGCAATAGCGCCACAATTTATTAAAGATAAATTGTTTGCAAGACAGTGAGGAAATCTCTAAAAACAGTGATTTGCAATTTAAACTTCTGAGCTTGAAAATCCAGAGGTGGAACACAGTTGTCAATCACTTTGTTGCCTTTGTAAAGGCTTTTCAAAGACGTTTTGTTGATCTGAGCTTAAGGGAAGGGCTAATGTTTACACTGGGGTGGCGGAAACTCCATTAAGGCTGTTTTATCAAGTTAAATTGATATTACAGACTGGATCCAAACTCATCTGCAATTAAAAGCCATTCATCAAAAAATAAAGTGGGAGCAGCACAAGAACAAATGACATTCAATTTGCCGTTAGTACTGGGGTACATTACCAAAGTGGTGAAGATGTAGTGATAGTACTCTGTCATCATCCCCATCATCTGGGCCTGGAGGAAGAGGAGGGGTGGGGTAGAAAAAAACAATGAAAAAGGTCACTATGTCATGTCAGAGTAATTTGCAATCATTGTGGCAGCCAACACAAACAATGACAACAAATGAGATTGAATCAAAATAGCGGAACTATGAAGAACTATTCAACTCTGTTGATTTATCGACATCTCTCTCCATCTGTGTTTCTTGTAGCATATAGCACAACAGTTAGCTTTTAGTAGAGATAAGGGCCCTTCAAGAGATAGATGAAAACCTCATGCTGTTCCAAATATGACTTTTGTTCTTCTACCGAACACAAAAGATAAGACTATTGATGCTGATCTTTTGCATACAACAAAAGTGAAAGGGGACGTTTGACAAAATGGTTTGGAATGACCTGAGGATGAAAATAAATGTACTATTACTATAGAGCTCTATGAAATCCATACCCCCCCCCCCCCCCCCCCTCCTATTCTATTATATTCTATTCATATTTGCTTGTCCAACTTCAAATTCAGTCTTTTTTTTGTTTGTTTCTTTTTTTTCTTGTTTTTTTTTCAGGATTCCATTCTAATTGTTTAGTTAATAATCAAAAAGTATGTCTAATCAACTGAATCCATACAACTTTAAAAATTTAATAATCTATTACAATTTTAACAATAATAGTGCCCTATGAAATGTGTTGTTTATTTGTATGTATGTATGTATGCATGTATGTATGTATGCATGTATGTATGTATGTATGTATGTATGTATGTATGCATGTATGTATGTATGTATGTATGTATGTATGTATGTATGTATGTATGTATGTATGTATGTATGTATGTATGCATTTGTTTATTTTTATGAAATTCTGTATTCTGGATTATTTTTATGGTTAATGACAAATATAACATTACAAATTGTGATAACGGATGCACCAAACATATTTAAAATGTAATCTTTTAAAATGTAGTCAAATAATTTTTTTTTGTGCTTCAATATTAACAAACACTATTCCATTTTGCAATCTGATTAAGCATACAGCCCTACTTTTTGATTTATTAATCTAAATTTGGCCAAATTCCATGGCATTCTAGGTTATACGGTTCCATTTTTAAGTCTGGATTCCGTGATTATGTTCAAATGTTCTGCATCATGGAAATCATAGGGCCCTATTCCTGTATTCAAACATACTGATTGCTTCATACATTGGTCATAGCTACTCCCAATACATTTCCTTCAATGTTCATACAAATGCTCCCTTTTGCCTTGGTGCTCATACAGTATGTCTGCTTTAATTATGCCATCTGCCATGAGGAAGACTCAAGGTTATGCTGTGCTCTTTCCCTCTTCTAGACCGTAATCACTCGAGTTTGTGAAAAAGTCAGAAATGGTTTAATTTCTTACAATTGGTTGCAGAAATAGCCCCTTCTATGTCTGTGCCTGTACTTTCTATATCACGCAGTCCCTCTCACACACACACACACACCCACAAGCATAGACTGCCTTTTGAAGACTTCTGGGATTTAGCCCACAGACATCTCAGACAGACTCTGTGTCCGACTGCATTTCCTATTTCTCTTTGGCCTGAAGGGGAGTACATGCACCGACAGAAATTCAGGAGAGGCTGACAGAGAAAAACGAGCCGCAGACAGGTTGTAGACAGGTGACCGCAGGACTAAGCTTATTAAGAGGACTCGGGCCACAGAGAATGACACAACTTTTTCATAAGTTCAAATGTGAAATAATACAGCCTACAGTTAAACTGGAAGATACATGCAGGGGCGTCAACGCTGAATGAAATGAAGAGCAAAATACCGTCTGGAGAGCCTTTGAAACCCATACGAGGTTTAAAGCAGTAGCTGCTTGGACAGTGTTTTCTCTTAGATATAAATAGAAAAACATATTCAGTCCCCATTTGACCCGAAGTAAACATTCTCCATAGCGGTTGCGATGTTATCAGATGAGCTTTTTTGTTGCAAGGACAAGTTTGTGAACGCACGACCTAAATCTTCCCTTCACATCTACAGCACTGGATTAAAAAAATAAATAAAAAATCTGATTTCTTTCAAGACTACACTGCTAAGTTTCTTAACTGACATCCCAGAGTTTGGTCTGTATTTATATTTCAGGCTAATAAAAGATGAGAAATAGTGGTTTGTATAATGGCCCAAAAAAGTATTTAGACACTTAAAACTCACTTAATGGATAAATCATATAGGGAAAATCGCTGACCATGACACAATATTTAATGACCAGTAGGTGGTCAGTAGGTGGTAAGAGTCAGAGAGGTCAAATTTGGTTTATTTAAAGGCTGTCAAAATTTCATGAGTTACATTTTTATATACCGTATTGACCCGAATATAAGGCGATGTTTTTTTCTTGGAA